GTCTTGACTTAGTGGACGATGCGTTTCTATCGGCGAACACCAGACAATCACCGTTGAAAGGAAACATATCTGAAGCGCTGGACATTTCAGAAGATCTCCGGATAATGGCAAAAAGTTGAACTTACTTGATAAGCGTATACGAAAAGTACGGTAACGCCTAGATAGACAGATAATCCAGCGTATTCTTCAATAGGAAACAGGCCTCCAGCCAAAAGTCCGATAGCGGTCGATGAAACGATCGTAAGTGACGGGAGCGTTGAAGCAAACACCTGGAGATGGGTTTTCTGTCAAAAAGGAAAGTAACTTCATAATGTGAAGTACTGTATTATGAACAACTTGGCAGCACCTTTGTCCTACAGTACTTTTTCATTTGAAGGATACTGTATTCGCTTCTACCCTCGTTTCCAGGAAGCTCGACATTTCACCAGCATAAACTCTATACGTTTGTGTGCAAAAGGCATGAGTTTCGATATTCAAGCCCATCGAGTCTCCCTTACCAGAGCGTTACGTTCGGAACTATGTGTAGAATCGCTCGCTCCAAGGTGGGGTCATAATAGTTAGCCGTTAAGGAGGGTGCCGTGGGTGTAGGTTAGGACTCCACGAGAGGTCACGGCTGCCATGTTTCGCCTCGCCGCGCGCGGCGATTGCTGCCGTGATTGGACGAGACCCATACAGTCGTGCGATTTAAGATCCCGGTCCCTTCACATAGTTCTGGCATCACGCAAATCTGCTTGGCATTTTGCCAAACCAGAATATTCAATGGGACGTCAATATTTTGAATGGCAGCTGTATTTATTCAACGGATTGCTGTATTTCTTTAATACTACCTACTTTTCCCGTCTGGCCGCAAATCTTAGGCCTTTACAATACCTTACAAAGGAGTGCAAAAGAAGGATTCACCCTAAAATGAATTTTTGTAGATTGCTGATGTATTCTCTAAATATTATTTCTATGTAAATGGACATTGTTTTATACTAATTGTTGAACATCGGGCCCACTCCTTTCATAGTTTTCACACCTGCAAGTAATAAAGCAGACTGTTGGAAATCTAATGGACTATGCAAAACCCCGCGAAAACATCGCGGGGCCGCCTCTCCTACGCCGCGTCGCGGCGGGCAGCCTGACCTCTCGTGGAGTCCTAACCGTTCCCCGGTCCCGTAGTTTGGCCGGCTGATGGGCGTTACGAGATTCACAAAAACTTTTTCGAGCCGTGACAGAAGTTTTTCCGGCGCTGGCAGGTCATTCTATATGTACAGTCTTATAAGGGCACATCATCGTTTCGTTGGGATCCCCACCTGAAGGGATCGTATTTTGGCCGCTAGACGGAGAGCGTCGTACCAGGGGAGGGAATTTTCGATGGTAAACTTGTAAACACTTTCCTTGGGCCTTGAACCCTATACAGAATGCCCTATACAACTACTGTACATTTTTAGTTAGTTAACGGCGACGTCCCCTCCTCCCTTTCGGGTGTCTAGGCTCCATGTTTTCGAAAGGGAAGCTGGAGTTTTTTTTCTGCAAGCTGGTGAAAAATTGTGGAAAGTCGAAAAAAACTCCCTGAAAGACGCCAGCAAAGATGTAGAAAGAGGGACTATCGGGGGAGGGGGTGGGGAGGGGGGGGGCATGGTTGCTGATATTGCCAAGTCTCTCATCCCAGTGATGTACTCTCGTCCACAAACGACGGCAATGTATGTATGCGCGGTGGTCCCTTCATAAGCGATCCATCCAACTCTACCCCTCCTTCTTCTAAGAAACGCTTCCCTGCTTCATATTTTGGATTTGCTGAGCAAATTTATGCCTGCTCATGGATATGTCCGTGTGCGCCGAAAAAGCGAACCTTATGTTACACTTCACACATTCCAGTGCAATTTTGGCAAATGGCAACAATGACTTGTGATCAGCCACGCTTTGGCAGAACCTCCTTTGATCGCTTTTAGAAAAATCCAGAAAACTCGTCCAGATATACGCTGTCAGGCAACACTCGCGAACGATATTTTTTCGGCATTTTCGACAGTTCCCTTGCTTTTTCTTGGCTTCCTTCAGCTATCACACACGCTGTCCGTTTTCAGATTTGAAACAAATTAACCTCCATCAGATGATCCTTGACAGTTCCACTTTTGTGATTTTTGACCCAACTGTTATAGAGAAATAGAGCACCATCGATTCCTAAATGGGATATCGTTCAGGGATTGAAAACTATGCTGTTAGAGCGTCATCAGCGCCTCTTTCCCCTCCACCAATACCAATAGTTCTGACAAAACATACCTATAGCAAAGGCTAAAGTCGGAGCAACAATAGTTATAGTGTTAGCGTGTAGTCCTAGGAAAGAACACAGAGCCATGGCGCTGATTAAAGCCATTAATGGTAGCACGTTAGCGGCTAATGCAAGAACGGCAACCCTAAAGTTAATGTGATTCACACAATAGAAATATTGATAACGATTTGACGCGATGTACATAGATGGCAATGGCATTGGCATCGAAGGGGACAATTCACTGGGGCCATTCCATACTGATGATGTGGGCGGAGTCACACATTCCATTGTGACTCCCTTACCGGACCTCATTTCGGAGCGGTGAAGGTGAGAAATGCACACAATGAGCAGAACACAACGGGAGTTCCGGCTGTGCCCATGCAATCAGTGTGGATTGTTCTCTAAGCGAAGCAGAAGTAACGGAAGAAAAAGCGAGCGACGGTTAAGTTTAGTGGTGGGGGGGGGGAGGAGAAGAGGAGGGGGGAGGGGAGGGGGTAAGAAGCGATAGCGATGGTGAGCGACAAGGTAAGGCGATACAGGACAAGGTTCGGTTATCTAATAGCAAGGCTTGTTGAAGTCACAAACCATAAAATAACATCAACGAACACAATGAGCGACACTCCAGTGGAGGTGTTGACACCGGTCGGGAGATCCGCACTGCGGCGTCACGCTGAAATAGGTCAAGCGACGGCGTCCTCATGATGAATTGCCTCGACTGGAAATTTGCACACTGCGCTGCGCCTTTCGTGTTGAATTGCCGGATCTCCTAACCCCTCCTCCCTCCCCGTCCTCACCCGCGATTGAGAAGAATGTGCGCACACTATAAGCGGAAATATTTTTTTGGGGGGGGGGGGTGAGGAGGCGGAAGGTGGGCGGGGGGGAATGCAGGCAGCAATAACAAACTTAGTTGAGGAAAGGCAGAAGTAACGGAAGCAAACGGCGATTACATACAGCAGTGACACACACAGACTATTGACACAACAACATAATGTTAGTGGGCGACAGTGGGCGGTGACAGACGACGAGAGCGACACCAAGTGGCAACAAAGGAGCGTTCATAGTTTGCACGTCGGCTTTGGGTCACCTCCCGAGATGTAAGAGCTCCAAGGTGAACACGCTTCTGATTCTCGGATTCTCCATTACTTGGCTCGCGTGTGATCGCTATCGTGTCGCTAACTATGAACACTAAAACACTATGTGAGTGGCGACAGTAGGCAACACAAAGCCGACACCGGGCGACAAAGGGCGATAGCAGGCGACAGACGGACAGCAAGCATGGTGCAACAGCCTATGGAGTAGTGAACATGAAGTAATGAGTGACGGGTCCAACTTTCCAGTCTGTCAAGTTA